TTGATTGTGAGTCTGTTTTTAACGTTTGTGACAAATTAGTTTTTTTGTAATTACCAATTTTATCTTAATCATGATGTCAGTCGACACTTTTTAGTAATAAACAGATTTTGTGATAACAGATAAATTATAATTGATAGGAAACTGTTTGTGTTTTACAAATACATCAATTTTCACGTTTGTGAATCAATACATTTTTTAAATACTTGCAAAATAATTTTATTTTATAATTGTTTTGTGCATGCGCAAAGTATACTCGGGACTCCTATCTAGAAAAAGCGCGTCGAAGCGTTACGCGTGGCGGATGCGCATGCACAATACAATTATAAAATAAACTTATTTTGCAAGTAATTAAGATATTTATCAATTTGCAAACGTAACATTAGTATATTTGTAAATCACAAAGGATTTCCTATTAATTACAGTTATCAGTTATCACAAAATATCTGTTATACTAAAAAAGTGGTCGGCTGACATTGCATGACTAAAATAAAATTATTAATTACTATCAAAAAAACTAATTCGTCACAAACATTATGAACAAACTCACAATCAATCACAAACAAATTTACAAACAAAATACACTCAGAAAAGTTAAAAATAATTAAACTTAATAATTCTGTCGGCTAGTTTTATGTAGATGTACGCCGTAATGGTACGGTACAGTTCCTATTGTGCGATATGTACCGAACAATATGCAGTATAGGTACAATGATGATACGCTGTACTATAATATCATGTATACTATTTGTACCGCTACCGTACAGTTACGCCGTACGCCGCCATCTCGCGGCAGTACAATAACAGTACGATAGCGGTATTTTGTGCGGAAATCGCACGCTTGGTTATCTGGGGAGTTTTATTCGGCAACGATATTATTATTGGATGGAAAAGCAGTTTGTAAATGAATGTTAAAACACTGATTCTAGTAGAACACTTATATTGGAAATCAATTTAAGCAAACAGCGATTTTACAATGTTAGTACGACCGAAAAAATACAAGTTCTTTTCAATTTATACTTCCGATAGTCTCTCTATAATTTCTTATCTTTTTGCGACTCAATAGCTCGACCCGACGTTAGAGAGTAAATCTCGATATTCAGTTCTTTCGCAGGTCGACTCGCTGGAACATTCTCGAAAACAGATCGGTTACATGTTTAACATTAAAAATATGAGGCGGGAGCGCGCCCGCGCAGAATCGATTTTATCGAGGCGCTGCTCGATCATCTGGCTGCCGTCCGCTGGCGCCGTCTATCGGTGGTATTCTTAGCAATCTTTCACTATGTTTCTGCTACTCGCCTTATTCGTTTAGCCATGCTTGCTTTGACATTTATGTCTATCGACTCGAAAGATTTTACATACCTGTAAAACTTTTAATTATTTCCCAACTTACAATTAGTCACTCGCGTCCTGATATTTTTTCTCTCGTTCAATAATTTTCTATTCGTACATTCGGAGAATCCAAATAGTGAGATCAATAATGTACTTAATTTTCGTACACTCTAGTATCTCAATCTGAGATCGGTGTACATTTTAACGTCTCAAATGTAGACGAATTATTTCTATATAAAAAATAATTAAAATTTTCACACCAACAATCTATGATATATGCTCCATATGCCAAATTATATTTTATTCCATTTTTAATCATTTATTTTAAACTACTGCATATTAGCAAGAGTTACTGTACTATGGAGATTAATGGAGGAGACGG